ATCTCACTGAATGATATAGTCCACTGATTTCGGCTATGAGACCAGTTAGAGCACACCACCGACACAGTGAACCATTCGCAACTTCGAAACATGGCAAGAACTCGGCCACTGGCACCCGCCCACAAGTCGGCTAGAACATGACTTGCAAGGGGCACCAAGCTTCGCGCGACGCGTCCAGCCACATTCCAGAACGCGCGAACCCGGGTCCAGCGCCGATCTTTGGCGGGAGCCACTCACCGCATCCGACTGGATGGCCGAGATGACGGCGCTGTAGCGACTGTTGTCCCGCGACTCCACGTACACCGGCTGGCCGCGGTGGAACCACTTGCGCTCCAGGAACAGCTTGTTGTCCTCGATGCGCACCTCGCTGTTGGCCGCCGCCGTCGCGGCCGCCGACGAGACCGAGCCCTCTGGCAGGAAACCTGGCGGCGGGAGTCGCGTGAGGCGCGGCGGCGAGGAGGGGAGCGGAGACGACGCCATCGCAGCGAGCGCAACGACCTCGCCGGCTCTTGTGGGGATAACTCGGCAGCGTCCGGCCAGACGCCCGACTGCCCGCACAGCGTGGTGCGCTGCGCTCAGTGATACAACATGTACGCGTGACGAGGGTCGTGAAGCCCGCACTGCGGCGCTCGACGCCCACCCGGTACCGAAGCGACAGCTGAGCGCGTCGGCTCTCGCGCGACCCCGTGAGCCACGACATCCCAGCACGGCCGGGTCATCAGCACAACCGGCGGCGCGGCCCGCGCCAGCTCCGGGTGACGGCCACCCGTCTACGGGCCAGAGTTCACAGACTCAGGTAGTCAGGCGCACGGATATGAATCGAAAACCGTCCTGTAACACTTACACACCCTGCTAAACATAACCCCTGCCACTCTGAACAGCTACCTCGGCTTACAGAACACCACTCAGCTGGAACGTGAGCCAGCATACATCCTGGCAGTGACCCGCCCGGACGGAAGCCTAACGAAGGAGACCAGCGGCATAAACTGATATGGCCATCCTTGCTGCCTAACTGGATAAATTTAGAAACACTACTACAGCTACCTCCCTACGCAGCCGCGCATGACAAATCCCCTCCCCCAATCCCCATGCTTCCGGTCACGTGGCACGCAAGCTCAGGGCGCCCGTCACTGCCGCAGCACGCACTGGACTTCTTAGCCGGCGGCTGCGGCGCCAGCTTGCCCTTGGCGATGAGCCGCAAGTCGTCCTCCATCTGCTTCTCGTCCAGCTGGAAGTTGAGCTGGTTGGAGACGGGCTTGCGCCGCTTCTCCTGCGCCGGCACCGGATCGTTTGGCCGGCGGCGCAGTTTGCGCGTTGGCAGAGGCTTCATCTGCACACGAGAGGGGTGGAGTCAGATGGTGTAAATGTATTCACGATATGGCACATGCCAGTCTGGTCAAATCGTATTCTACCATCTCACGTCCTCTGCTTGGAATGCGAACAAAAATACAGCTACGTCTTATGCGCGGTCATGAGAGCCGTCGACCCATAACCCTAGTGACGAAGCCAGCGCTTTACCACTGATGTCGGCCGCGGCTGTCGCTGGCCGCCCGACTCACGTCCATTGAATCCCCGGTGATCTCCATGCTGGCCTTCTCCATCTCGACGTGGCGCCGCTTGTCCTCGAGCTCGGCCAGTAGACTCTCGCGCAGCTCGCAGCGCCGCTCGTCCATCTCACGGCTCAGCGCGCGCCGGTCCCGCTCGCACTCGGTCTCGATCAGGCGCTTCTCGTACTGGTACCACAGCTCGGTCACGCGTATCCTGGCAGCGCGGTGAAGGGTGTACGCAGGGCGGCGGCGGGGGCCGAGCGCGCCGGGTGTGGTGATGCACGTTCGCCCCCCTGCAGGGCCACGGCCGAGGCCACACCGCCCGCCCTCGTCCCAGGAAGGCCACAGATGTGCTCGACCAGACGGATTACCCCGGGTTACACGTATCCTGGCGGCGCGGTGAAGGGTGCACACAGGGCGGCGGCGGGGGCCGAGCGCGCCGGGTGTGGTGATGCACGTTCGCCGCCCTGCAGGGCCACGGCCGAGGCCACACCGCCCGCCCTCGTCTCAGGAAGGCCACAGATGTTCTCGACCAAACGGATTACCCCGGAAAACTTACCTTTATCAATATTGGTGATGGGTTGCCTATGCTGTAGCACACTGTAAATATCAGTGTTGGCATGTGGTACTGTAATCAGCAACCTGGTACAATAGGTTTGACTACATCACCAGACAATATGTGCTACAGGGCACAATTCACAGAATACTGGCTTCGGCTCCTAGAACTCTCTAGTTCATTACCTCTCCCTGTGCTGGAAGTCCAGACGTCTCAACTTCTTGTTGTAGTCTGGGTGCGAGCCCTCCTTCAGCTGCTGCAGTTGAGCTTTCAAGTTGGCAAGCTTGTCCTGGTACACTCTGAGGAAACAACAGGACACTCAGATACACTGACCTTTAGTGATCTAGATCCACCCAAAACCATACAGAGCCTAATCAAACCCACGCCAAAAAACCTGACAAGCACCACGCATAGCTTCAACTAGGCATCTGCAGCCTCTATGCATACATCCTCTGACAAATTATGATTCCATGCACAGACGTCACCACACTGGTAGGTCCCTGTCGGTCAAACTCTCAATGGCATCTCCAGCGAACACCGTGAGAAACTTACAAAAAAGGCTGTGGAACCCTATTTTCAATAGTTTCCACTGCATGACCACCAGGTTAACATTAAACTTAACAGCACTAAACTCAACTAATCCTCTAATCCTCACAGGTGTGAGAGAGCACATTACCAGCCAGCTCTTCCTCTGCTCCTCCAGCCGTGTGCGCCACTGACCTCTCCTTGATCTCGGTGACCTCGCCCTCGCCGCGGTGCTGCGAGCCCGTCTCGCTGGCATCGTCAGTGTCCTCATCATTGGAGCCAGCCCCGCCGGGGTCCTCCTCCTCATCAGGGCTAACGTAGTCAAACTCATATTCCTCCTGGTATGACGCAAACGCGAACTGGGGAGCGAGGAGAAGCCATCCGACACTATAGGAGTACAGCAGAGCAGCATGAAGCTTGTTAATGCGATGCATGCATGCGTGGAGAAATGTTTGAGAACATGATCCAGTGAAGAAGTTGAGTGCCAGCCTTTGAGGATATTACAAGTGACAGGCTTTGAAAAGGGTCAGAGTATACATTGCTATCTCATGTTAAAAAAGAGCATTGTACATCAATCATCATTTTTAAGGCGGAACATATTAACATATAACATATAACATACATATATATAACATATAACAGAACATATAACATATCTACAACAGGTCATCTAAACTCTTACCTTGGAACTTAAATAATGATAGCGAGCATCTGAGCGACGCAAACACGCAGCAACCACAACCCCAGCGCCATTGCTATGCGTGATCACAACATTACTGCACATCAAGAACCATAAAAATGTATGGGGCCAAGATAACAAGAATCCAGTGAAATATGTTTGTTGTGTATCCAAGCAGTCTTCCATACTATTTGTAGATTGGTTGACATGGTGGGCAAATATGATGTCTTTGGGTGCGGACTGAAAAGCAAAATGAGAATATGGTGGCTAAACAAAACTTCTTAATATGGTACATATCTATGGCATGGAACATGGATGCCAATGGGACACTGGGTTGAAGGGGATAGGGTGGGGAGGTTAGGTTAGGTTAGGTTAGGTTAGACCAGGCCAGGCCAGGCCAGGCTATCCATGGCTAGGCCAGGCTAGTTTGGGCTATGTTCTGGACTATTCTGGCCTGTCTCTTTCATAAACTTACCTACACAAGAAAAGAAACATTTCATTGCATTATTATTGCTACCATGGCCCCATACATTTCTATGGTTCTTGACAGGCAGAAAAATTGTAACCACACAACGATAACACAGAAACGGCACTGGGGAGTTGAGGTGGTGGAGTGTGTGTGGAGCTTGGGAGCTCGCTATCGTAGATATTAAAATTTTAAGGTAGGAGCGTGAATCTACCTGTTTTATGATTAATTATGGCATGTTCTGCCTTAAACACAACAAATGACGTACAATGCTTTTTTTATAACATTAGGTGCCAATGTATACCTACACTTTGAAAAGGGCTGGCATCATCATTTGGCAGTAAGATGAAACTGATGAATGATCAGTTGAGGCATGATCATTTGGTAGTAAGATGGAACTGTGAAGGTCAAATAGTCAGCTTCTAAAGCTACTTCTCTTCACAAACATTTTTATTCCTGACAATTCACATCCCATGCCCTGAAATTGGTGGCAACCATGCACTAAACTCAAGACAATCAGATTTGTAGGATACATGTCATCAAATTTTGGATGGCATTTTATAAATATCATGGAAGTGTTTATTGTAGTGCAACTTTTTGGCAGGCACAAAAAGTTACTATTATCTTTAACCAAAACAAACCAAGGCTTATCCACTTAGATTTCTCCCCCTGTTCTGCTTGATGATGATGATTTGGGGTGTTAGGGCGCATCAACTGCTATAGGTCATGCCCATCCTGTTCTGCTTGGTAAGCATCTAACCAGATTCTGTGGCAAAAATACTTCAATGCCTCCAGAGAAGAACGCTGATCTTGCGGTTTCAATAGCTGGTTCTAGAGAACGCCACTCTTGCGGTTGCAAATGACAGCTACCAGAGAGAAATGACAATCTTATAATTTTAATGAAGTCTCCTGAGCAAATTTACATGAAAATGCTCGCAACTAAGGCAATTCTCAGACCAGCACAATCTCAACCACTCTGTCGCATCTCGACGTCCTAACCACATCCATCACGTACATGCCATGCCCTAATTCATCCAACAGCCCACATCCCCAAACTCACCGACGTCTGTCCCGCGCATTTCGGGTAGCCCGACGACTACAAATAATTTGCGGGGTTCAACGATTTCTAAACTTGCTAGCAGCTAGAGATTCCCCTCGGCCCTGTATCTGATGACATCATCAATGACTTAGATAGACTGTGGCCCATGATCGAGAAAACATATTTTTTTGTACACAGAAAGATGAGCCAAATATTAAAATAACGAGTGATTAATTAATTCAGAGATTTTGAATAGCGCCATACGGTGAAAAATTTACAAATTAGATATGACGTCAGCAGATATTCAATCCCCTTATAGCCTGAACAGTCTTGTTCCAGCGTGTGCATGTCTCTAAAGCGCCACACTGACATCAATATTGTAAGTTTTCGTTTACTCCGATTGGAGCTACAGAGTTGTGAGAACCTTGTGGATAAAATATTTGTAGTGCAATAATGATGCTAGTCTGTTTGAAAATTTTCATTAAATTTTTAAAAAATCAATTAAAAAATACTTTGAATCTTTGATTGCTTCATTGTGGATCGACAGGTATCCATGTAATTTTCATTCGGTTCCATTCACAAGGAAAGCGTGAACGCCGAGGGGCGTCTACGTTCAGCCTGCGTTGTTATCTACCTGTGTCCGTGAGACGTATATGCTAGTATTCAATATTGTTTGAAGCAAATGCTTTCGAAGATTTCATAACCTCCAAGCTTTTATTTAGGTAAATATGATGGCTATTCTCCCTTAAGTATCCTTCGGCCGCGATGATGGTCTTCAGGCTACAGTCATCTTTGACGGCGAAAAGATAGTTCGAAAATTGTTATTCCTAGTGTTGCGTTTCTTGTGCGACATTCATTGTACCGAGCGAGACATCACATAGGCCCCTGCTTTGAGGCATAAGCCATTTCTTTGAAGGTGCACTGAAACATTGTGCCATAAGTTCCATTGCCGTTTTTTACATTAGTAATTCAAATATGTGGACTGCAGTCATTTTAACAGTGGCACAGAGGACAGGAAAGCCCAGTGTTCACTTTCTCAGGTTATGGAGAGGCTGAAGTGGAATCTTACAGCAATTTTCAGTTGCAGTTGTTCACGATTTGGTGAACTTACCTTGGATGCCCATGCGATGAAACATTTGCATCTGTTGCTATCTTTTATGAGACTTAAACGGCATTGGTCTAATATAAATGAAATGCAGGTTTAGGGCAATATTTGTTATACCCTTACTTTCTGGTAACACACAGATTTCAAGTTCTTTAGATGATGAGAGGAATAGGCATTTATTGGGGATTGTGTAGATATGGAGAGAGTCATATGCAGATAAGATTAAACCAGGTACAGGGGTGTAGTTTTGCAAGAGGACTTAGGGTGGGGCTGAGTGGAAAAAAGAGAGTCAAGACCTTTCACAGAATAAGCACATTTAATACATGCTTCCCTGTGGACTTAATGTGCGTTCGGCTGAAATGGGGTAGACTTCCCCCCATTACTAAATATGACATTACATTCCTGATGGAGTAAATATGCAAGATAGTCTACACATTTGAGTATTGTCCTTTTCTGCCGACATATCCCTGCAGTTTATCAGGAACTGTCTCCCATCAAAGCCTACCATGACTTCCACAGAATGTCACGCTCTCTGGAACCGGTGGCGACGCTGTCGGGGCACACCGACCGAGTTTGGCAGGTGGCCTGGGACCCAACTGGCCGCACCCTGGCCTCCTGCTCGGCCGACCGCTCGGTGCGCCTGTGGGCGGCCGACGCCGCCGGCTGGAAGTGCGCCACCGTGCTGACCGACGGCCACGAGCGCACGGTGCGGGCCGTGGCCTTCTCGCCGAGCGGCCGGCTGCTCGCCTCGGCCAGCTTCGACGCCACGGCGGCCGTGTGGGACCGCGAGCAGACGTGGGAGTGCGCCGCCACGCTCGAGGGCCACGAGAGCGAGGTGAAGGCCGTAGCCTGGTCGCGCTCGGGCCGCTTCTTGGCCACGTGCTCGCGCGACAAGTCGGTCTGGCTGTGGGAGCTGACGGACGAGCGCGAGCTCGACTTTGAGTGCGCCGCCGTGCTCATGTCGCACACGCAGGACGTCAAGCGCGTCGCCTGGAGCCCCACGGAGGATCGGCTGGCCTCCTGCGGCTACGACGACACCGTGCGGCTGCATCACGACGACGGCGACGACTGGACGAGCGGCGCCGTACTCAAGGGTCACACGTCGACCGTGTGGGCGGTGGCCTGGGACGCGACCGGCCGTCGGCTCGCCTCGTGCTCCGACGACGGCACTGTACGAGTGTGGCGCGAGACGCAGCCGCCGGACGCCTGGACCTGCGTGTGCACGCTGAGCGGCCACCACCCGCGGCCCGTCTACGACCTGGCCTGGTGTCCGCTGACCGGCCTGCTGGCCACCGCCTGCGGCGACGACGGCCTGCGCGTGTTCGCTGAGGAGCCGGCCGCCGGCGGCGACGGCGATGAGGCGGCGTTCACGCTGGTCGCGACCGTGGCGCGCGCCCACGAGCAGGACGTGAACGCGGTCAGCTGGAGCCCGACCGAGCGTGGCCTGCTGGCTTCGGCCGGAGATGACGGCCTAGTCCGGCTGTGGCAGGTGGGCGAGCTGTGAGCGCCGCAGACGCCGGCGGTGGCGGGCAGTGCGCCACGCGGTTGCCGCCGTGTGGAGGCTTAAATGCCGGGCGGCGTTAGTCACGTGGATGTGTTGTCAGTCGGGTAGTTGCCTCCTGTGCCGTTGGTTGGGATCTCTTTGGTCTGGGCTTACTATTACTGTAGCCTTGCTCGGGACTGAGACGTAACTCCTACGCCATTGGTATGGTTATGGGTCTGTCATCAGACAGTGTCAAACACGAGCGTCACAGAAATACTCGGTATCATACGAGGAACATCGCTGAGCATTGATTTACAGCCACGACGAGGGGGTGGGGAAAGGGCCTGCTGCGAGTGATATGCGAAAAGGTGCTTATTCTCTTTGACGCGCTGGATTTACCGTTGGGACGCAGCAGTTTTATGTTTCGTAAGTGCGCGTCTGATTGTGTGTCGAAATTGAGATGCGCCGGGTGCGGGGGCCGCTGTTACGAATTCGTTTGGCTGACATCCGAATGGAGGTGTTACCCAAAACATAGTCAGTGTGCAATTTCAATACAATTAAAAATGCTATCCATCTAGTCTTCAATAACCTGTACTGGCGAGAATCCAAACGTTCGTAGAGAGCAGTCCGCCAAGGCCGATACTGCGCCTCATGAAGACTCCGCCATTGAGGTCAGTTGAAATGGCTGTATAGCGGGCTGGACTCACAAAGAACAAACAGTCTTCACTCGCAAAGCATTCTTCCACAGGTGAGCGCCCGATATCCCGGGCCCGTTGTGTCGGAGTGACACGAGAGTCTGATGTGGTCACGTGCCCCGCCACATTGCTCTCCATTAATGACGTCGCCAGTTGTGAACGCGTGGGGAGCGCGTACCACAGCGTCGCACCATTTCGTCTCGTGGCTCGATTCACACAAAGGCGTAAGCGCATGAAGTACACATGGCCATGTCGCTCAGTGTCGACGAGGTTTGAGGATAAAAGTTCGCATGAAAAAGTGCATATCCATGAAATAGGGTCGTCATTGTTTGTAAGCAATACAATGCATGGATATCGTATGTCAGAAGTGTAACACTGATGATAGAATTGTTGGACGAAGACTACCGCGCTCGTTTGGTGTGCGATATGTACGCAACGTTTCAGCCGCTGGATTCCCCGGCCGTCGTCAGGAGCAGTTGAGCTCTTAGAACGACCAGTCGGTGTCTGGCTTTGAGCCATGTACTTCCTGGGTGCGTCCTGTCTTTTCCGGCTAGCTCGGTTGGTGAAGCGCTGGAGTCGTAGTCAGAAGGCCCAGGTTCGTATTCTGGCAATTCCAAGGAGAGAATTCGGTTGTTGTTTATTGGGTATTTTGGGGCGGCCGACTGCAGTGGTCATTTTGCGCCCATTTGGAGAAAATTCGGATCGTGGCGTGTACATGGGTGCAGACCAAACATAAGCCCTACTACTCGCTCCATAATTGCTGACAACGGCCGGTGAATTATCCGTCCGAAACGTTGTGTGCATGCTAACGCATCAGACGGGGGCGATATGCTGGACAGGCATTTTAACCGTGATACCAGTGCTTCGTCTCAATCGTCCCATAAAACTGTAACAAAATCACGCATGCAAAAGTACGTAAGCATATGTTGGCATCGCATGTAGTATGTATATAGAATACTGGTATTGACATTGTCAATACAAAAGTTCGGACGAAAAGACAATGCATGCATAAATGACGTAAGCAATTGTTCGTAACGTTAAAGTCCTTTTGACAAATTACGCATGCAAAAGTTGGCAAGCTTTGATTGCAAAGTTACGACTTGGATGGATGGGAAGTGCTACGCAGGTATGGGGAGTGTTCCGAGGCATAGGGACCATCCGGGTACCGAAGTGCGTACCGTCAGCCTTCAGATGTTGAAATGTTGCCTCCGCGGAGTAACCTAAGGCGTATAGTTCGGCTGCATTACTTTTAGCTCTACCTGGCTTACGGTTTAAAAGTGGTAGCCTCGGACAATGTTGGTCGGGTCCAAACAATGTCCTAACAGAAGCGTGTGCGTTTCTCTATCTGGACTTCGGCTCACTTCATGCAAGCGATCGTGTGCCGGGATTCATTCGCACGCCTGCTCGCTGTGTTACAGAACCGAGCTGACTGCACTGGGGCCATTAGCTGGCGCCAGTGACGCGCTTAGCGGGTGTCAAAGCAAAGGTGTGGACAAAAAGGGCATCACACTCGGGATAATGATGGATTACAACATAACATGGATAATATGCGTCGGACACTTTTTTCCTCAGGTTCCTCCATTCCAGGGTAACTTGCACTACTTCCATTGATTCAGGTTTATTTGCTGCCGCCAGAAGGGGGGGGGGGGAGAAGGGAAGAGAGGAGTGTTGAATTTTATGTCATGAAGAGTTAGGCTCGGGACAATATTTGCCCTGGCCTGTGCTTTTGCCACTGTCCACTGTTATTCCCTACCCCTTGCCCACCCCGGTCGGCGGGATGTGGTGGCCTCCGCAGTGACCATTCACCATAGGTTAAGTATGGTGGGTCTCATTCTAAAGCTTGCAATACACATCCGCATGTGCTCTTTTGCGCACATCTTTTGCCGAACGGCTTTATTCCTGAGGAACATTTGCATACGAGCGTGTATTTACATGACGCATTGGCACACGAACTTCTGCATACGTACTTTTGTCACTATGTATTTTTGTTTTGATAAAGTCCTTTTAAAAAGGACTTGATACTCCACAAATAATCCATTCGAACTATGCGTACTTGCATCCTAAATTGGCAGGCCACCTTTTGCTAACGTACCTTTGTCAAACGGAATGCACTCCTGACGAACATTTGAGAACGAACGTTTCCGTGCGAACAAACGCGTATGGCCTTTTTCCATACGAACTCCTACCCGCCAAGCATTATACCATACCAACTCTATCTTGCGCGAATTTTTTACGTCATCACTTTTGACGTATGGAATATTACGCTACGTCTTTCATTCTGACGGGCATTACGCCAGTTGTTACGTGCAATAGCGAGGAACACTATGCACAAAAATGCGACAATAGTAATGACCATGTTCCTCGGAGAGGAACCGGGAGAATGGAAATAGAGACGTCTTTAGGTGTCCATTTTCCTAGTTCTTCTCCGAGGAATCAGGCTATTACCACTGTCTCATCTGACGTACGTTAAGCACACGAACTTTGCCCGAACAGGCCATACTAGCCTTTCTTATACGTGCTCCTGTCATCCACTAACCTGACCAGATGCTGCACTGCCGTGAGTTGACAGCATCAGCAGCGGCGATGCATTGAGCTGTGCCACGCCCATCATTCTCCCTGTCTCGTTAAGCAGGGTCTCCTTCGCTGCTTGCCTGTGCCCCTGCTGGAGGCACCAGCCAGTCCAGGGTTTATCCGATTTGCTTTCGCCCAAGAGGCCCTTCAGCCCGAGCCATACTAATACCCGTTTCCTGGCGAAAGGCAGTAGCTTTTGAGTGCATGAGTGAGTTGGTATGCATATTTAGTAGCACGGATGTCGTAACAGCGCTTCGTGACCGCGTCGCTGACGGCCCGTTGGCAACTGGCCAAAAGGCAGGCTGACGCGGGAGGCCATGCGACGATGCGGGACGCGCTAAAAGATGACTTTGTACTATGGGACGCACAGTGCCAAAGTGAATGTTATCCGCTGAAATCGAATCGCTCTAATACGGGGTTGTGCCTGAGTATCAAGCTGTGCTTAAGAAGGACGAACCTTGCTCTGCGTGGCAAGGACTTTGTCCCAAATTCACGTCTGTGGAACAGTCTCATCAAATTGCTATGGAGGTCGCCGTTGCATGTGACGGGGACCGGGTCACAGACTATCTTGTTAGGTATTAACGTAAGCCGGGCACTATCAGCCAGAATACCGGTGAGCAGCCCTCTGTTTTCGGAGCCCCTGCTTGATATAATGTCAATATGTAAATCGCTTGTTGCCGCATCACAAACATGTAATGCACGTCAGTGCAAATGCTGTCCACATATTGCTAGATGTTCAGCTGATTTACACTCAGATTTGGTGCGAATCCTGGGAAGGGATGAGAGTGGACGAAAACGAGTGTGTGTTTTCACGTGGGCATGTACGCATATGCCGGGGTGCAGCCAGGAGTGTAGTCTCTGTTTGGTTGGGGGGAGGGCTGAAGCCCCCTCCCGTCAATTTGGGCTCCAGTCCCCCCAACTTTGGGAAGACAGTGAGTCAAATTTCTGAGAAACCTGTTTGTTGGCATACTTTGGGATTACGTTGGGACATTCTCACTGTTCAGCCCCCCCCCCCCCACACACACATCTAATTTAGTGAAACTACGTCCTTGGGCGCAGCAAAAGTTTCCTCAAGGGAGAGGGCTTGAGCTCGGTAGCAACGTATTATGCCAGTCTTTAACTTTCTGTCGAGAGCCATCGATTGTAAATGACGAAAAATGCGATCACCGGGGCTCTTGGCTGTGCGCCTGTGAATAAGCCGATTCAAGAATGCCTCGCGACATGTCGCACCGCTCGTCGGAAGTATGACTCACAGTCGCCATGACTCATCAGAAGCATGACTCACAGTCGCCATGACTCATCGGAAGCATGACTCACAATCGCCATGACTTTCATTTTGTGTGAGATGTGCCGACTCATCATTGCGGTGCACTATGCAGACATTGCACAATCCGACAGAGCTGCGGTTTGAGGAATGTTTTGGGGCCCTTTGCTGCATTGATCAAGTCTGATGAGTGTACAACTATGTCGCCTGGTGATTTACACACGCTTGTGTCCTACACTCAGTGTATTCCGTCACATGCTTCGTTCTGCTCGGATTTTCACATAGCCCGTTTCACCGCTGTCGTCGTTATTTGGGCTTTACTATGTACTTAGCTGCTGAGGCTGTGTGGCGTCGCCTGCCTCTCACCCTGGCAGAAAGGGCGGGCACCGCTGGAAATCGAATCCGTACCTCTGGCCGCGTTTCGCCGCGTGTGAGGTTAGTGCAGTTTGATGTAACCTACTTGGGGTGTTCCGTTATGGTGCGCGGCCTTCAAGCTAAACTCCACTGCTTTCTAGCGAGCGACACCATCGCGCAATATGACTCGTGACGGTTGGAAGATCAGGGAAAGGACGAACAACTGCTTTAAATTCTAACACTGGCATGTTTGTTTTTGTTTTGTTTACCGAGTTGGACGTGCGTACATCGCGAAAATGCTAGCCATGCATTTGCCTACGTCATATTTCTTTCTGAATGCGCCCTGCTCTTCGACAGCCACAGCATCCGCACCTAGGATGTGTTTTTTCCCATCTCTTGTCCGGTCACGCCACGGGTGTCGACTTGTATTCTTTTGAGGGCCCTGCCCCCCCCCCCATGTTGAGGTGCCCACGCTGGCTTGGCTCCCTCAATATTTTTGGTTGGAATATTACAAAAACGTGGGTAAACGATGATCATATTGCAAGGGCTATTTTTTTTATCTTTCTGCGTACTGGCGTTTCGTACCGCTCTCTCTTATCAAAAAGTCATGGCTACTCTCACCTCAAGGTACAAATCGCACCAGGTTAGCGGATAAACAATGCAGTCAACTTCACATACCTAGCGC